AAAAAAGTCCACCTTTATTCAAATTAAGTGTTTAAAATCTTAAACACATTAATTCAATACTTATTCATTAACGCCCAACACAAACAAAGTACTTGTGCAAAAATTACAGGCCACGGTAGTAATGTTGTAGGTAATGACGTCCAATATTTTCATTTTTATATTATCTTTCATCTCTTACAAAATTTATAGAAAGCTACCGTTTCGACATTTCGAAAAACATTAGGTAAAAATTTAAACTTGGAATTCCCGATAAAGTGGGATTGCGATACATGGTGCTCCTAGTCTGGCTAAGCTAATTTATGCGTCTCATCTGAAGTACTTAATTACGCGTATCTGCAGCCAATCTTTGCTAATTTCCAGACGTTTTAGAGAACACTTTGATGTTGTATTATGTATTTTCATCTCCATACTTATAAACTTTTTCACTTGTGTCTTCTGTAGCATTTTTCTACAATATTGTCATTCTATTTTTAAATCTCGTTTGAGTACTTACTTGTTGTTATTAGCGATTATGTTACGTACTAAAATTCTATTCTTATTTTAAAATTTGTAATTCTATTCTCAGTTTGCAATACAGGGGTGTGATTCTGTAAGACTTCATCCTAAACTTCGAATCTGAATCCGCCGTGAGTAGTAGTACACTAGCGCTACACTTGCGAGTTGAACTAAATTGACAGCATCATTTTGAAAGATAAAGTACGAAATGACGTTAAAAGTGGTATTCTAAAATTTAATTTACCCGTCATTTCGACGCTCACTTCGCACTCGAACACGATTCAAAATCAAACAAATTTTATAGAATCGACGTGCAGAATTCAGTTTGTAATGCGGCAATTAAAGAAGTTATTTTATGAAAAAAACTTCTATTACCTCTATAATCTCTATGGCGTAAGAACAAAGCCGTATTCGTGTTTAAATAAATATACTTAGTCAGTTTAACAGGTTCTAAGTTCCAAATTTCACTGAACTTGCAAGAAAAAATAATATTTGGAGTCTTGAAGACAGTAAAATAATTGTATTTCATTCACTATTCGACTACTTAGGTGCGTTAATCTAGATTTTGTTTAGTAAACAAGGACCTATTTTTTCGCTAGAATGTGATTACGTCACTTATCTGCATCTCATACAAAAGTATAGTTTTTGAGATTTCGGTTAAATTAATTCATTGTTGTTACGAATAAATTTATATTATTGTCAAACTCAATAAACATTGTAAATTCAAATCTGTTTTTCGAAGAACTACCAAAATAAATTATCTAACGAATTTCAAAATGGCTTCCTTTAGCAACATAAAGCGTCGACCATTTCCAAATAAACGCTTAATCCCATTGAGTTACCGTTAGCAGGTGGCGCGGGAAAATCGGATAGCTATTCAATCCGGTAATGAATTGACGTCCGGTCCGGTTCAACCGCAAATCCACTAAACCAGGCGAGAGTACCTTTTAATTGTTACATTACTCATTATTTATGGTAATCAAAAGGTTATCTAATGAATTAAAATATTCAATTACTGATTGATGTATCATGATTAAATGTGAATTCCATTTTCAACGTGGCGCGTTTCGAATTGTGGTTGTTGATTTTAAATAAAATTTTTACCTGATAAACGAACATATTATTTTTTGTTTTGACTAGAACATTATGAGTTAGATACATAGATATTTGTTTAATTGTATTAAGTAGTACACTTGATACACGTTTTTGATTTTAAATTCTTCACTGCGGTGTTTAGGAGGCCGTCCCATTCTAAGATTATTTTCTAGAATTTCAAAACACACAGTTACAGGTCCAAAACAAACATTTCCTTAGTAGGTATTTATCTTCAAGAAAAGAAAACATTAGCCTTAAGAATGGTATTAAGATTTAACTACACAAGAAAAATATATCTTATTAATCTGACTATGAGTATGTTAAGAGCAGTTTTGGGGGTGATAGATTCAAAATTGGTGGCATTTGGGGATTGCGATGTAGCCTCAGGTAGCCTCCCTGAAAACAAGAAGCATGCGTTGTTGCACGCCTATTTCATGCAAGGCCGTGATATCAATCTAGTCAGCATAGCTCTTTTGTAACAAAATGTCCACAAAACCTAAATACCTAAGTCGATTATTGTAGAATTAGTAAGGGGGTGAGGGGAAAAGCTTGCGGTGGGGAGGGGGTCGCCGGCAATTATTGAGCAAATGTAATAGCAGCATTGTGATAGAGAGCACAGACGTACAGCCGCGTTGATTAGTGCACAGCGACCCGATGGAGACGACATTCATACTATAATGTTACCTAATATTAAACTGCCTTTGTATCTATAGTGGCATCACAGCTTTGATTAAAACAATGATGATGTAGAGATGACCTTGAAATTAAGATTTTATTTTGTGTGTGTGTAACAATTTTAGATTATCTCTTCATTCATATTGTAAATGCAAATAAAATTCATGAATTGGGTAGATTAAGTGAACAGATTTAAGGCCTATTTCATCACTTTGATTAAGTTAACGATAAACTTTTTGTATGAAATATCTATGTTGTTAGGCTTCCGGCGATTCGGACCGCAAAAAGTATGAAATGAAATAAAGTCTTCCGGAAACTGGGACCACTCATAAATGAAAGTCCCGTTGTGAATTTACAATTAATTCGCGTGAATAAGTCGTTATATTTAATAAATTTAGTACTTAACTACATATGTCTGACGATAGTTAATTTTAAAATCTTTTACTTTGTACATAATATTAACACGAGAGGGAAAACAAATAGTTGTGCCTGCCTCCAGGCTTCAGAAAATAAGTGGTTCATTTAGATGTGAATAGGTACATACTTACGCTTTTTCAATAAAATTACTAGCGATATTCAAAATTTGAACCTCAATAAATTTAAAAGTGTAATAAAGGATGAACTTTACTGTAAAGCATTTTATAAAATACTAGCTACTCTCACGCGCTTTCATCCGCTACTCCGCTCCTTTTGATCGTAGCTGTGATGTTTTATAGCCTATAGCACTCGGGAACATTGTAGCTGTCTATCAGTGAAAGAATTTTAGAAATCCAACCAGCGGTTCGAAAGATTACCCCCTACATACAAACTTACAAATTTTACCTCCTATTACCTATTGTGACATACAATAGTTTATTTTTTATGGAGATTGTTTATGTTTTTTATTTATTGACATTTTTATTATATTGCTATTACTGTAACTGTAAGGACCGTGTAAGACTTTACCGCGCTTTTTGATTACCAGTTATCTGCGTTCTGACAGTTTGAGTACTTGCGCGACCCACCCAAATATTCTTTTGATCGGTATTGTTCGTCGGACAACTCAGCAGCACTAGCTATACTGGTTGCAAACTGACACTTGCGTGCCTGTCTTCAGAACGGGTCCACTTAAACTGGTGTGTGTTTCTTTCCTCATTTCTTCTCAGAGTAGTCAGATAAGAAATGCCGGTTCTGGCGGTAATTGTATTTTAAGTGTAAAAGTGCGGTTTTATTACCTATTTGCAAAACTAAATTCATTATTTCATTGAAAAAAATTGGAAAAACATCCCCAACTGATGAAATATAACGATAGAATGTGTCTGTTACACAACAGTTTTTTTTTGTATTATTGTGAATTGGACTCTTTACCTATTTATTTGGCAACATTATAAATGAATTCTCTAGTAATTGCAATTTTAGTCAATATTATTCTAAAAATTATGCAATAAAAGCATACATGCCGATTAAGTGTTTTTTTTTTTTTTGTTTTAAGAAGTCTTCTTTAATAAAGTCGTAACCTACGTAGAAAACCTTCAACGTTTAAAAACAAAATATTTTATCAATAATTAACTGATGCAATACAATATAAGTCAACGAAACGTATAAGCAGTAAGAACCAGCTTAAAAATGTTAAAAAAACTCAGATTTAATAAAAAAAACAAGTTGCCAAAAATATATATTAAAATATTAATATAATAATTCTATAGCCGGCTCTGTCCTTGATTATATTTGCGCTGAGCCACGGCCACGCCCCCTTCCATCCCCTATTATATTTGCACTCAATACTGTTACAGCCTAACTACATTAATTACACGTCGCGTTATCTACCCTACGTATAACGGAATAGAGATCAATTTAATGTAGTATTTAGTATATTATGTAAGCACATAATCCCGTTCTGTTTTGATTTGTCTATAAAATAATACACTTTGAGCTTTGTCTGAGAATGATTCGAAAGCAAGTGATGTTTCAGCATTGAATGAATTTAATTAATTAAAATCTGCTCTTTGTTGATTGGAATATTTTATTTTTGAATGGATTCAATCTTTATTTTATCGATTTGTTTTTCTGTTGTGCCTTATCTATTATCGTTATCTTGAAGAGATTGAAAAATTACTAAAGTAATTACGTATATTAAATTTTAAGGACACCCGAACCTGCTTAGGTAAATGTAGTAACAAAATATCTTCCATCCCTATTAATTCCTAACTTAAAAACTGTCCCACCTACACACAAAAAGCCCTGTTTAGACATCAACATAATTTCTCAACAAAAGTTTAGACAAACCGCTGGCTGTAAAAACAATGCCTCGCATCCAAACGAAGCCGTTCAAAAACAGTTTCGTCGTGTTTTTGAGAGAAAACAATATCCGGATTTTTTATTGTCTGTGCAGGCGAGCACAAACTTACGTCCGTCCAGCATCCAGCCAGTATTTGTGATGGAACAATGCGAGTAACTTGTGTTGCTAAGAGGTTCTATTGTTTAATGCCACAATTACCCACGAATTCTACCCAGATAAAAGAAACTGACCAAGTCGCCGACCAATGTATAGTGTGATTTCAAGAACTTGATCGTTTATGCTACCTATTTATTTATTTATTTTCTAAATGTTGCTAAAATAAATTCTAATTTATATCTCAAAGAAAAGGTATCTACTTAATAAAATGACGTTTCAAAAACGAATGCGTAATTTTTTTTATTTTTTTTTTGTCAGAACTTTTCCTATACTGTCGGTACCTACTCATAAGTGTACAATTTCAATTCTGAATCTCTTCTGTTATTGTATTAGTATGATTTGGAAGAGAAAAATTTGTATTACCTGAATGTATATCAACAAGTTGCTTCACCAGGTTGGTGGTATCGACATTGGTGTGTACAATTAGTTCGAAAATCTTAAGTTGTTCTAGAGCTTTCCATTCAGCTCTGTGTTTGATGGCCACATTAAATAGCTCATTGAGAACATCTCTTGATTTCTTTATCAAACTTAAAACGAACCCAGCCTTGTAAGGTTTATGGTTTCTAAATTTCTCTTTTATATATTCTGTATCTTCCATTTTTTTACTAACATCTTGCATAGCCAGGCCCACCAGCATTCTTATTTTACTTTTTAAATTAAAATCTTTTTCATCTTCATACGCTTTTCTAAACGACTTTAAATATGTTTTGTTTTCAGGTTTTTTATTTAGCAAGAATCTTCTGCGTCGATTTGATATTTTTGGTTTAAGAGGTAATGTGTCTAGCGACGTCTTTGGCGATGTGATTTTAGATACAGTTGGCGAGACAGATGACGAGACAGTTGGCGAGATAGTTGTAGGTGATATAGTTGGCGACATAGTCGGTGAAGCAGTTGCTTCGTTCTGTGGTGATGACCCATCCGATTCTCGAAATAAAATAATCTGTCTGTGTTTGATTTTATCCATCTGTCTTCTGGTATCATACAAATGTTGCGGTAAATCAATTAAATTGAGGCAGATAGATTTTTGTATCACCATTTTCATTATATCTAAAATTAGTAAAAACGTCAATTATGAAATTATTTAAATAGCACTTATAATCACAATTAAAAATTAAATTTTATAAAACTTTGATCAGTTGTATGATAAATGATGAAAATAGTATACTTACATAATATTGCAAATTTTATTATGATCATGATACAACAATACCTTTAAAAACAAACATTATCGCAAACTACAAAAATGAATATTAAACGTATTAACACGATTAATCAACACATTTTATTAATTACACGTTATGAGCATAAATAATAAAAACTATAAGAATCATAATTTTAATTACATACATCAAACACACGTGTAATCAAATGTAATTAAAATTGTGATAAACTTTTTACGTGACAAAAGAAAATGTTTAAACCACACAGGTTTTTTTTTTAATATTTGACGATGAGTATAAAATAAGTACAATAGGAAATTATCACTAAGCGTCTGTTTCACAATATTCATACTTATAAGTACTAAAAACAAATAACGCTCTAAATTCAAAATCTGCTACACAGTCCAGACATTCTGAAATGTATACCTAACCCAAACTGACAAAAACACAAATCACATGTAATAATTTGGTAAAGACCATCATTATCAGCCCATAAGTGCCCACTGCTGAGCAAAGGCCTTTTCTCACACGGAGAAGGTTTGAGCATTAATCACCGCGCTTGCTCAATGCGGGTTGGCGATTTCAAACTTATAATTAGAAATTATAAGTCCAGGTTTCCTCACGACGTTTACCTTCACCGTATGTCAGTGGTGTCTAAATAATCATAGAAAGTACATAATATAACTCGGAAAAAGTCACATTGGTACTTGCCAGGTTTCGAACCCTCATGCATGAGAAGCGGGCTCCTTAACCTCCGGGCTACCAGAACACGACTACACGACGAAAGACCATATAATATAGAAAAATAGAATATTATTTTTTTAATACTTACACCGTAATAATAAAAATACAAAAGACAGTACAGTACAATTTGACTGCTGTGCAACGTGTCCCGTGTTCGATTCCTGCAAGGTTTGTGTAATCCAAGAATTGATGTTTCGGGTTTGTGTAGCTTGTGTATGTGAATTTGTATGTTTGAAAACGCACCCACGACACAGGCGAAAATCATAGTGTGGGTCAACGTTCTTTAAAAAAAACAAGAAAAGTCGGGGTTATAATCGCTAAAAAGCAAGCAACTTCTTCCAGACAAACGTTGAATAGAGTTTAACTGTAGAAGAAATGTCATAAGATCAAGACGCGTTAGTCCTACTACTGGTCATTTTGGGCGGGAGCGGATGAGCGCGCACGATGCAGCGCAGCGCATTCGACAAGAAAACATGAATAGACCGTGCAAATTTTTAAAAGTTATTTTCATTTCTTTTCTTTTCCTTATATTTAAGTTTAATTTTATTGTAGGTTTCGTGAAGAATAATTAATTATAGGTATATGTAGTTCTTATTCTAATAAACAAATTTAGAAGAAAACGTATTAGACCTGAGCTTTTGAAAAATATAATAAATTATTATTACAATCAAATCAAATATCAATACATTACGATGCATTCAGATATTCGTTTCCAATGCAGTATTTTATTTAGTAAATCTATACTAATAATAATAAGGTCTTATACGTTTTATTTTAAATTTGTTTATAAGAATTAATAACAAACGCCTATTCAGTAGGCTCTAAAACTACCTATTTATTAAGTTCCAAGCTAGTTGCACAAAATATTAAGGTAGCTACAGTGTACGTCGTACTTGCTCGATTTAAAAAAATTTTTCACTGTTAGGAAAATGCACTATCCCCGATAAACATAGATATTATGTTGTAAAATAGCCCAGCATTTTATTATGAGTATAACTCTCTCTCGCTAAACGGGTACCCAAAACTCGCCTACCAAAATATATATCCATTTCAAATTTTTACCTACACACTCCATTGTTTATTTAGGTAAGCCAAAAAAGTTTTTCGTACATCCATTGTGATGCTCTTTTGTTTTATACGATAGGTACACGTTTTTAGAGCGGTTTGGTTAGCGAAGTAGGGAAAAGGGTTCCGTGTGTGGCCTTAGGATCTGATCAATCGATGTGCTTAGATACTTATCCCCGGTTTCCGAAAGGCCGATCAATGTTAAAATCAATTTAATCTCTTGTCAAGTCATCTGATTGGTTGACTGAATTATCATCAACCAATCAGATGACTTGACAAGAGATTTAACTGGAGATTACTTAATTTTAGCGTTGACAAGCCTTTCAGAAACCGGGTGTTAGTGTTTGTTATTGGATGATAGATACTGTTAGGTACCGATAAAAGTGGAGTTGTTTGACTCTGACGCTATTCCTTTAATATTTCAGGAGAATGAAACTATAACACTTTTATCCGTTAGTGGTTTTCATTTAACGTACTGTAGTTATCTGGGATCGTTATAGAAAACTAGCTACAGTCACGCGGTTTCCCCCGGCTGCTTGGCTCCATTTGATCGTAGCGTGATGTCGTATAGCCTATAGCACTCAGGAACACTGTAGCTATCTATCAGTGAAAGAATTTTGGCAATCCGACTAGCGGTTCCAAGGATTACCCCCTACATACAAACTTACAAATTTTACCTCTTTATAATATATTAAGTATAAGTATAGATTATCTTTACTAAGTCAATAAGATATGTATACGCGTTATTTATCTATTAGTTACAAAGTGGGCATTCACTTTTATAGTAAAATACTTAGAAAAGCAGCATTTATTTTCTTCAGAAAAGGCCTCATTCATCATAATTACCTACTCTATCAAGCAGACCTTAAATTAATCTTAACTCCAATAAAAAGGTACGACCCCTGTATAATATTTGAATATCTTAATCCAACATGAAAACATTTAAACACGTGGCGTCGTAACCGAACCGTGACGTCATCAACTAATGCACTAGCGCCGACCTCATCATGGGGCAGGTGTGGCGTGTCTGTGGCGCGGCTCAGCGGCGCCACCTGAGAAATAATTACCGCGCGGAAAAGATGGGATGCGCCTTCTCATTATTTAAGAAGATGCTACACAATGTGCGGTTCGGATCCACGTGTGTGTATTGTCTAGTGAATATAGCGCAGCATTTTTTACTTCGAACACAACTGGAAATGGAACAAAACACTTTTGTTTGATGTAAATGGAAATCAACGCGTTTGAGTCTGCGGGTTCTACTGGTTAATTTCTATTTTAGTCGTAGTTACCAAAATATTTATTGTTATCATTGTGTTTTTGTGTAAAGGCTTCTTAACTTTTTTATTTCGGTGAGGAAATAATCTATGTAGAAGAAAAAAAAAAAAAATTGGGACATTAATAGTAGACAAAGTTTTATTGCTGTAGAGATCCTGCGAATAGTTGTTGATAAATTGAAGAAGTGACCAGTATTTTTAAGCTTCGTTTAAATGAGTATCACTCTTTTAGAATCCCTCGTAGCGTTTATGTGCTTAACATGTACGTCCACCAGCTGCCTAAGCAAGTTTGTAGTGTCAACATTAGTATGCACGATCAGTTCAAAGATCTTCAACTGTTCTAGAGCCATCCATTCATCTTTGTGCTTAACAGCTACATTAAACAACTCATCCAAAACGTCTTTAGACTTTTTGACCATACTGAGAATAAATCCAGCTTTGTAAGGAGCTTCATCTCTATGTTCTTCTTTTAATTCGTCAACTAGTTTCATTTTCCTGTGAGCGTCTTGCATCGTTTGCTCCACAAGCATCGCTATCTTCTGTTTGATGTTCGAGTCTTTTTCGTCTTCGTACACGCGTTGCTGTACCGGTACACCTTTCGTAAACTGGTTGCTGTCGCTCAGTAACCAATACCTTCGTATTGGCTTCACTGATACTTGCACTGGTTTGTATTCTTCATACTTCACCGGTATACGACCAACTTTCTTTGGTACCCGTCTCGGTTTGTAGGGTCTTTCTGTAAAGTCTACCAAATCTAAACATTTAATCAACTGAGCCATCGTTTCTAACGTACCTAGAATTAGATAAAAAAATAATATTACAGAGAATTATAATAGTACGGAATTCATAAAACACCTTTTCGTGTACTTACATAACACTACTGCGAGTTTTGTAAAAAATAATTTCATTCTAATCAAGGTGACGTGACTACATTACCGAACCTTTCAAACGTGTGCAAGCGTTATCGAGTTCCAAAATGCTTAATAACTACCTACAACATGTAGGTAGTTATTGATGAGTTATTTTCAAAGAAATTAAACCCTAATACTATTACCATACCATTTAATTATTTGTTTAATGAACTTCATTTTCATTTCTTTTATATAACTTGGGAAACACGTGCAACTAACCTTCGTACTTATCACAGATAATATTTTATATCCCTTACAAAATATTTTCAAACCAGAAGCACGAAACTACTTATTATAAAATTGTGAAGGTTTGTAGGCATGTAGGGATGTATGTTTGTTGACACGCTATTATTTTATCAACACACCACGCGGTCGAAGCCGCTGGCGTAGGCTAGTCTTATATAGGTATATAAAAATTGATCGCAAAATGTGTTGGTAAGCGCATAACTCAACAACGCCTGGACCAATTTTGCTAATTCTTTTTTGTTGTGTTTGTTATTGTCAGGATAAGGTTCTTATCAAAGAAAATATTAGAAAAGTAGAGGGGAAGATTAGGAAAAAGTAACCCTTTGATAGCGAGATAGTTGGACCCGTGCGAAGCGGGGGCGGGCCGCTAATTAGCTATAAATAGGAATACGCTGCAACGGATTTTTAAATTCGTTTTCATATATTTAAATTATAACTGGCCGTGTACAAATTTTACTTGATAAACTGTCGTTATGACATTAAGCTGTCAATCGGTGTAGCCTAGTTTGTAGATAAAGTTTAGAGTAATTGTGTGATAAATTCCCGTTATGTTTCGCCTACCGCTTTCAAAGTTAGGTCCTGCTATTTCGTCCCAATTAATGGCCATTGGTAATAAACATATCGAGTCAAAACAATGTCACAGTGTATTCGGCATCATGGATTTGATTCATCAAGAGAAGGTATGAATGGATCAGCGTCCACAGCTGATTATAAGCCTTATTGAGTTGCTATAATATCTTCGCTTGTTAGACCTTATGTGCCTATGTGTAGTGACTGTCAATAAAGTTCAATTTCCCATTTCTAATTAATTTCAGCCAGACCATTTTACTCTGTCCCAAGTTACAAGTGAACACCACGATATTGCCCTACAAGTGATTAAGCGTTATTTCTTAAGTGAACATGTCTTGGTACGAGCTCGGAACATGGATATCTCCAACGACTATGCACTTGACGAATATCTCGTCAGTTTACTTAAACAAGGTCAGAGTAAAACCTTCACTTATCTTCGGTAGCTATTCTGCCTACATCATCACTATATAGTATAAAATTTATAAAAGAAATAAAATACGCATTTTGATGCGGTCTTTTTATTAGACCATCTGTCTCAAGCAGATATCAGCATCGCACCTGTGCCAAGCCGGAACGGGTCGCTTTCTTTGGAATGGAATCTTAAAATCGGTCATAAACTGACAGGACATGACGTAAGGTGAATTCTATAATGGTGGCTTCTATAACTAAATCCACACCATCAGCCTATAAGTGCCAATTTTCTTTAGGTAACACAAATTACAACGCTTGTTAAGAGCTAGTTGTTAATTATAAACTTATAAGGTCCAGGTTTCCTCACGATGTTCTCCTTCATCGTCTTTCATTCACTCATTCATGAGAAGCGGGGTCTTTGACGTGTCACCACGACGTTTGTCTGGTTATGTCAAATTATTGTATTAGATCTTCTTAATTAGATCAGGCTAGAGTAAAGATGGAGTTTCTGCTGCTTGTTCTTCTACATTCAATTCTTCACTTTGGAACGAGCACCTAGCTTCACTGAAGAACAGCCTGCCGAACTATTATTCTATTTTAGCGTTTCAAAAGTGAACCTTAAAGATATGGATTATATGATCTGAATATTTTTGACTATTAACATTTCTTTTCTTTATTTTTGGCCTAATCCAAGAACTCTAATGGAAATCGCTACCATTTTATCTCAGAGATTGAGATGCTATCTATGCATAGATATATTATCGATAAAATGGTTATTAAATTTTTATTATTTCTAGGAAATTCAATATTCGCTAGGGCGGAAGACGGCACAATAGCGGGATTATGTGTCAACTTCGCCAGTAGCCCGATTGACCCTAGGAACTTACGAAACTATGCTTTTTACAGACAGGTACCACTTTCTCAATTTTATTAAATACTAGCTACTCTCGCGCAGTTTCACTTACTATATAAGTCGGTTGTACGAAAGTCTGTTTTTATCACTTTTATTATACCGCCAGGATCCTAACACCAAAGACTTTTTGTATTTCACGGCAAAGCTGCAGGAGACACCTAACTTGTGGGACATATTCAAACAGCAAAAAGTTTATGAGGTACGAACAAACAGATTTTGGAAGTTTTTGACACAAATATGTAGATTTATTGTGTATTTCACCCACTATGTTAAAATAACTTGGTATCGGAAAGCCTCGGAGATGGCAGAATGTAAAGTTGCGCTTACGAAATATCAGCTTGCTGCATGCTTCGCTCGTGTTTCCGGGATAATAGTATTGTGTCTTATTAACTTCTGGCTTTAACCTACATCTGTGCTAAATTTCATTTAAATATATTCAGTAGTTTTTCCATGAAAGAGTAGAAAACATTAACATTATAATATGTAATAGTAGCAGGAATTATAATACTATGTGCCACCTTGATCACCTAAGAGAATATGTGTGTAGTTAAATTTAAGACGTCTAGAATACACCATTATTTGTTATTTTCCAGATAAAAATGTTAACAGTTCTACCAGAATTTCGAAGGCAAGGTCTGGCCGTATTTATGGCGGAAAAGAGTAAAGATTTGGCTCATGATCAAGGGTACAATGTCATTCGTATGGACTGCATCAATCCTTACGAGTAAGTATCAAAACTGGTTTCGACGCAAGGCACTACATAATTTGACTTTACTAGTATCATCTTATAAGTGGACAAGACTGACGGCCTTACGGTAGATGAGGATAAGATTCAAAATACAAAAACTGACTCAATGGTTTAAAGCTAGACTAAAGATAAATCTTGTTTTGTAATAATGGAGTTTTTTCACATTAATTATCCATTTTGGCGTCTTTGCCTTATTACCGTGAACATTTTTATCTTTCCTGCCCTTCACATTTACATGTGAAGTAGTAGCATCTTCCTCAATTAAATATTATATTAATGTTTTTCAATTAAATAAATTACTAGGCCTTAGCGACCCTATTAGTCAATAACATATGCATATGATTGCACAGCAACCTTGTGAAGGGATGGCAGTGTCTGCGTACAGATGCCTTCTCAGTGAATGTTGTATAAATTAGTTAGGTATTCTTAAAGTTTATTTTACCTACCGCTAATATAAAGCCCATGCTCAAAATCGAATCTTATAGAAAAGGTAGAACTGAAAACTAATAAGAAAAAATCTCATACAGTTACTCTGCAATACGTTTTGACTCTGATAAACGTCGGTATAATGGCGATTTTAAGATGGACTTGCAGACGTAAATTGGGTTTTTCCTAAACTGGCCTTATTTTTGCTTTAAATTTAGATGTCAAAACACCTCCTTAAACTATTAATAAATCACTAATCCATTGGTAAAATAATTAGTTTTTATGAATAAAGCCATCTTCTCAAGTGGCGCCATCTACGATAGCAAAAAATGGCTGTCAATGTTCGTGCCACTATCAAAAATTTTCTTTTTCAGCTATAAAATAGCGGAACGTTGTATGCTACAGTGCCTAGTCAAATTTCCCCTGCATAAGGTGCGTGGTGCCAATGCACCGTTTATAAAACGAAGTTCGGATTTCAACCGATGCGTTCGCGTGTACGTGGATGCACGTCCACAGCCTGACACGGACCGCACAACCATCAAGAAGCAAGATCTTGAAAGTCTTATAGAGTAACAGGGGAAAGATAATAAATATAATAACTGATTGACTTATTATTTTTTTCCTTAATTTCAAAACAAATCGAAGTATTAATTTCGATTTTATTATTGTCACAACTCGAGGTACATTAAAGGGTGTTTTTTTAACACAAACCAAAAAACGTTTTAAAATTAATAACCTTTAAAACGTTTTTTAGCCTTTACCTAACCCTAAAACCGCCCATGATTTTTTTAAGTACCTAAAAATAGGTTTAAGTAGACTATAAGGTACTATGGGACTGACATATACTTATACCCGGTATAAAAGTACAGTACAGTATAAAAAAACTCTAAACATGATAAAGAGAAAAAATCTTTTTTTTCACCATCTGACTAATGGATTCACTATATTTTATTTTCATATAGATAATACAGGTATCTTGTACAGTTTTAATAAAGATTATTGTTAAGTTCTTTTTACTCGCGGTTGTGATATTATTTAGCATTTGAATTGTCTTAGCGGACAACTTTGCACGTTTTAATTGCATAGGCAGGTAGGAATCACAGACTGCATCTTACCAAATAAAATAATAAAAATGTTTTTGTTTTTTATCAATACACAAGTCAAATTTGGGTAAACAAGTTGATTGGGTCGGTTTGTTCTTAAAATATAATACCAGGTACCAAATTATTAGGGAGGTCAATAATCCTTTGATAGACATTAACATACTACACAAAAAATGAGTAGGTACCTAATTGTTTTTGTATTTGAACAGATTCAAAATAAAACCAGACGTATTCATTTTAATTTAAAAGTTTATTTAAAATACCTAATCACATTATATTGCTTGATGATTCTAATATGAATACAAAAAGTAAATAAATGTTTTGTAGGTGTATACATAATAACAAAAACAACTAAATTTTCCTAACAAAGTAACTTAGTTTTTTGCCCACAGATTCTTAGAAACAGATCGTTAAAACTATTTGATATGGAGGATTGAGACTATTTCTTGACAATATTTGGGAAGCAAATATTTTAAGGAATTTGCTAAGGTAAGTAAACTTGTTTAAAAATTTACATACATTGTTGCTTTTCCGTTTATACATGTCAAAATATATATATATGTAAATATCTATTCATATTTTGGTTAAATTTTGTACACAATTTTGAAAGCTGTATGCAATATTGTAGATTTTTATATCCACTTTATTTGTATTGGGAACCGGATTGTTTAACTTTTTCGAAATCTTTTTCGACATATAAGTATCGAGCTATCAAGTTATATACACGATAATACCTTATTATCTACCAATATAAAATAACCTTACATAAAACACATGTTTTTTTATATTAATTTTTCACTTTGGTATATTATTCGGTTTAAAAAACATTAACGATGTGACATAAAAAAACAAGTGAATCAATGCGAAAAAAAAAACAACCAGACGATTCCAAAATGATAGCTTTTCAAGGACATAAACTCACTTAGATATAAGACATTAATTTTTTATGTTCATTAATGACATTTAATCTTACAAACTAACAGTACATTACCTTTGTTAATCAGTTCTAATTAAGGAGATAAGGCTTAATAATAGTTTCTACAAGCCATTTGTCTGAGAACCGTAAGTGGTCGCCTTCAGTTGATATCAGTACCAACCTGCCTTCTTTGTGCATTTTCCTCAGTCCTAGGCGATCCTGCAATATAAGGAAACATTTAGCTATTAATATCATACTTAATGATGATCATGTCCAATATTTTACTCGTTATATCTCTCCAAAAGATCTATTACGCAGTTTTTCTAAGGCATAAGGTGGCAAACTAGCAGAGGTATCGCCTGAAAGCAAATCGCTTATAGATAGATCTGATAGATCTATTGGGGCTTGCTGATGTTGAGGTATCAAAAAATGAGGGAATTGGGGATCGGAAAGAGGAGGCAAAAGCCCCCGATAACATCACTGACGAAACAAACGTGCTTGGGAGGAAGCACAGGATGCTGTTGGTGTCTTTTGCGACCTCTCAAAGGCGTTCAATTGCGTTGATCATAAAACACTCTTGCTGAAATTAGATCATTACGGGATTAGACATACTGCACTCCGTCTACTAAAGTCATATTTAGAGGATAGGCAGCTGAGAGTTCATGTAGGTGGTTCTAACTCACGGGGCTCTGAGATAAGAATTGGCGTACCGCAAGGTTCAATTTTGGGTCCGTTTCTCTTCTTAGTGTATGTTAATGACTTGCCATTTCTATTTAAAACCGAGCCAAGAATGGTGCTGTTTGCAGATCATCATCATTAATTTTTAGAATAGGTCGACGTGTTAATAATTTTGACGAAGTAAACAGATCCATTCATCAAGTTCATAATTGGTTTACAGTCAATAATTTAGCACTTAACGAGAAAAAAACAAAATGTATTAAATTTAGCTTGCCCAACGTACACAGTAATGATTGTGACATAATTTTAAATGGGCAAAAGTTAGAATTTGTTAACGAGACTATATTCCTAGGTATTACGCTAGACAATAAACTTCAATGGGGTTCCCACATAAAGACGCTTTCGGGAAGACTGAGCTCAGCTGCTTTTGCAGTTAGACAGATTAGACAGCTCACAGACGTGAACACAGCAAGGCTTGTTTATTTTAGCTATTTTCACAGCATTATGTCGTACGGAATTTTGCTGTGGGGTCGAGCTGCGGAAGTAGATTCAATATTTATTTTGCAAAAGCGGGCTATCCGAGCGATATATAACTTGCCCCCTCGTGAATCTCTGAGAGAACTATTTAAAACGATAAATATCCTAACGGTACCTTGTCAGTTTATATATGAAAACATTATGTACGTAAGGAAAAATTTGCAATTATTTGAAAAAAGAAGCGATAGACATAATTTTAATACTAGAGGCAAAGATAGGCTGGCTGTGCCACGATTCCGTCTGTCCAAAGTACAGAAATCCTTTATGGGGTTCTGTGTAAATTGTTACAATAAAATTCCAAGAAGTGTATTAAATCTTAATGAACGAAAATTTAAAACTTATATTAAACGCGAATTATGTAGACAGGCATACTACAAACTTTCAGATTATATTGAGGACAAGAATGCCTGGCATCATGTTGGTTCGGCTACACTGGACAATACTCAAATATGTAGTCAGTAGTTATTGAAATTCTCAAAATTAATGAAACCTTGAATGAGTTTATATAGAAGCATTCTTTTGGATTGTGAGTACGCATATGTGAGCGTCATGTTCGAGACAACAAAGGATTAAAATTTTAATGATAGATTAGATAGACCATCATTTGTTCCTTTTTATTAACAACTTGTCTCTGCATTGTTCTCACATAGGGGTACAGTAATGTATAAAAAATGTATTATTGATGAATTGTAAAACAAATATTTTTTTTAAAAGAGTGAGTTTCTTGCTCGTTCTTCTCCATTCGAAACTACAATTTGGAACGAGCACCTAGCTTCACTGACGAACAGACTGACAGACTACTATTCTATTTTGACGTTTCAAAAGTACCTATTTATGGTTTATTTGGAATAAATGATTTTGATTTGATTTGATTTGATTTGACAAAGTTCAAGTTATTTAAAGCTGCTTTTTTGTGAGTCATTGTATTACAGCGGTTGAGCCGGCTAATTCGTACCGAAGCGTGGCTCTTCCACATTTAAATTTATCATTATTTATTTATCAGTGCAGTAAAAAGAGACCCATGATAGCTTAAATCCCAATCTATAGTATTTTGAGAACTCAGGTTTGAATCGAATGAAACTTTAGAAAATAGTAGAGGCCTGTTGTATTCCCAAAAGAAATCTCGGCATGGAATTTTACCTTTCGAGTTACCTTTAAACAAGGGAAGAAATTAACGGAACGGAAAAGACGGTAATGATGGCATTTTCTATGAAAATAGAGGGCCAAAGGCAGGATCATCTGATAGTAACCAGTAACATCAGGTGGTATTATATATTTTTCTAAAGTAACAAAACCAACATACCTCCACATACAGTCTGGTCTCGTAAAACGGCACAACTCTCTTAGATTGTCCAGGTTCATAGAAACCAAACCATTCAGTTTCCCTTGGTTGCACGATGGTATCATTGTCGAATTTCACCAAGACAAAATGTTGCAAGTTATTCAGATTTTCTATATAGGTCTTGTTAACTCGAAGTTCATTGTTGATTTCAGCGAGAAAGATGCTCTTGTTGATGTAGGTTTCTTCGTCAAGTGGGTCGTGCCAGTATGTCGCTTGGACTAGAGCGTCTTGCACCCAGCTGGAATTAGATTTATAGTTTTTATGGCTTTTTATTATAGTATTAATGGCTTCTTCGAAAGTGTCTATTATCAGGAAAGTAGATAATGGTAATCTATATAAGAGACTTCGTGCTAACTAAGTCCATAATCAGTAGTCTTACTTATTCCAAGGTTTTTTAATCATCACCAACTATTACTGGACTATTAGATTTCTTTGCAATTGAAGATCATAGTTTAAAAGTCAAGTGTTTATGCCATTTTTCCTTGGTCTAACGGCCTAGGTACCTGTGATAACTTCTACTCTGACAGCTAACTTTTAAGGACATAAAAAGAAGTTAATTGTACTTATTCAAATTCGGAAAGCAAGGAACAACGCTTTGATCTAAAATTTCTTGAACCAGGGGAAGGTGTCGTGTTTTTCTAAATGCACCCACACCCACACCCATAACACAGGTGTAAATTCCAGTGCGAAAAAATGTCAAACAAAGCATTTATTTTCAGTACATGAGGTTGAAATCAGCGTACAAATCTTATTGGCGATTTTCGCTTGAAGCGACATCTACAATCTATTATTAGTCTTGATTTATTTGTGGAGCAAAAACGGATACAAACTGCGGTTACCACTAGCCATCGCATGTCAGTGAAAGGAAACAAGAAATACTACATATGTTTATCATCAGAATTTTCTCGCGGTATACGTAGAAAGCGGAACGAAGTACGTTATTACCTACATAAAATATAAATGATGGCAATAATCTAGATTTCCGTAACCCTAATGGTAGCGTGTGCGTTGGCCGAGCACAGTATTTGTGCGAATTTTCTTAGTTAAGGAAATTTTGGTGTTGAATATAATCAGGACCAGGCATAAAGTTGCAGAAAAAATCCACTGTCTTACATACAAAGTGGTGATAAAAAAATTCTTCACAGTAATATGCCTTGAATAAGAAACAAAATCAATTGCGATTCCTGCTTTAAAGCCAGGATCGGAAGGAGAAATCAACGCCACGACCACAAATGACGAAGAACATGAATGCCTTAAGTATACCTAAAGAACATTTCATTTAGTAGAATTTCCACATAGATGTGTAAGTATTTACCTAGTTATGAAATGCATGTGTCACCTCGAATATAGTAGCTAAGAGCTAAAAGACTATGTTCAATTTTGCATAAACCAATTTAGTAATTCTTATACATTTGCCCATGTACAATTCAAGTGCGTACATAAGGATACTCAAGTACTTAGTAGGTATTGCATTAAAATTGACCTTCACATATTCCGCTCCTTATACGGTAACGAATGAGTACTTTGTTGGTACAACGCGCAATGCATACAAAACTGTTAATACAAATACACTTGCAACTACGTACAAAGTAATACCCTTTTAATCTTCCAGAGTAATAAGTTTTGGAGTGATACGGTGATCACAGAAAACCGACGTAAAAAAACCACATGGCGAAATCCAATTGGTGTGGGAAGTGAGGTGTGGTTACCGGAGGACCAATGCTTCTTCCCCTCCCCTAAACTCCGAAACTCTTATCCTCAAAAGGTAACGCACTCGTTACTCCTCTGGTGTTGCGGATGTCCATTGGGCGAATTGCTCGCCATCAAGGTAATCCGTCACATAATAAATATCGCTTCTTTTTATGGGATGAAGTGGCAAACGAGCATACGGCCCATCTGGTGGCAAGCAAATGGGGCCACCTCACAGCCGCGAAGATATAATTACGTTGCCACCCTTCAGATAGTTTAAACCTCTTGTGGTAATCTCTGGCAAAACACAGCACAATATTGTTTCACGCCATTTTTCTGTAAAACCGCTGTATCATTCAGATTCAGCCGATCCATCCATTCGTGCCAAAGCGTCAGAAAGACCAAATAAAAAATGGTCACCTACGATTTTTCTCGCTTTCCATGCATAAGGGATGCGAATTTGAATCCTAAGTACTAATTAAACGAATCAAACTTTTTCATAGTTACATGTAGGTACTTTTTAAGTTCATTTAGACACAAGAGGAGAAGGAAAACACTGAGAGCAAATCTTTCAAATCTCCACTTTGCCTTGAGCAAACGTATTGTTTAATTTTTTTATGGAATTGGTCGGCAAACGAGCAGGCGGATTACCGTTGCCGGCCTTTTAGGTATTAGGGTTTTGGAGATTTAGGGATTGGGAGGGATCGGGGGAGACTTACACGGCGAAACACAACGCTGTGGTTGTTTCACGTCGGTATTCTGTGAGGCCGTGGTATCGCTCCGGTCGAGCCGATCCATTCGTGCCGAAGCTTGGCTCTCCCACACTTAGCTTCATGCTGAAATCTTTTTCGAGTGAGAAGAAGCTTTTACTCAGTAATGGTAATTTATAGGATGATGATGATTGTGTGTGTGTGTGTAATACCAGTGATGTAATCAATCTTAGGTACCGTTTATTTATATGTATGTAGCGGCAACAAGCATTGTCTATTACCAAATTTGAATTACGAATTGAATTCGAAACAAAAACAATAACAAGATAGATAAACTACAAATAACGTTGTATTCGGTCAACGACATGTTGAATTTACGTACGCACAATACATAATATAGATATACAGTTACCTACGAACATCTATACTAATATTACTTATAATGAAGTAAAGTTTGTAATGTAATATTATTAGTTTATTTAATAAGTGGGGTAATCTTTGGAACCACTGGTCGGATTTTCAAAAGTCTCACACTGATAAATTTTAGTCAAGCAATTGAACGATGGTGTTTTTAAAATCCCGGTATACAATAGTTTTATACGCGGGCAAAGCCGCGGGCGGAGGCTAGTATAAAAATATACGTAATGTACAGCGTCAAACGAAACTACAACCAAGTACCAATGAACGGTTTTTTAAAAGAAAAAAGTCTTAAAATTTAATAACATTTAAATAAAAGTAACTTACCTGTCATAAGCAGCATAGTTGAGCACCTGTCTAATATAGTCGCAGGTGGGATGCATAAGGGCTCCGCAGTGAGGCAAACCATAAACTCCTTGGTGTTGACCTCCAAGACTTATCAAATTCTTAATCGGAGGCAGAATGTGGCCGCAACGCTGGACCACTGCTCGTCTAAAAATAATAACATTTTTTAAATTGACTGTTACTGTATACTGAAAGTCCCAAAAGTTTGAGTTATTTTTCTTTTTTTCTTGTTAAATAAAAGGTTGCCCTACATAAGATTTTTCTCCTGTATCGTGGTTGTGTTTACACACATACAATTTCACATACACATCATACCCAGATCCAGAACAACAATTTGTGTTTCATACAAAGAGTTGTTACATGTGGGAATTAACCCTTGATCCATCTCGCAGCAGCTCATTGCTCAGTTATTGATTTTGTAGAACAAATATAACATTTGATGACTTTATAATTCATTTTTTAGTTTTCTTGGCTGATTTACCATTGCTGAATAGTAAATACTTACCTCAATTCATCTAAAACTTATATTATTTATTTAAAATATTTTGAAAGGCCAAAGTCCTAAAGCATAACAGAGATGTCTTACAGAAATTGGCTTCCTTGAGAAAAGCCAATAGCATTGAATCCATCCTTAAGATTGGGGTCGGCAGCTAACTGTTTACACACATATTCCACCTGGTAGTTTGGATTCATAAAGTAGCCATTCTCAAAGTCCTCCACAGTGGAATTGCCAATCCTTAGTGAAGTGACATAAACACCAGGGATATTGTTTTCTAAAAATACTTTAATACCTCCTAGACTGAAGCTTACACAGCAAGTGTCACCTGCAGAAAAAAAAGTTTGTTTTACATATAAAATGCACATTTTGTTTTACTAATGCTTTTTTAATATAAAACTTTTGAGTAACTATAATTTTATTTGTAAGTGTGCTACAATAAAATATATTGACCCTTTTTTTTTCAATATTCACTGTATGGGAATTTCATTTTAAAAATAAAATAAGCCATAGTCATTCCATTCAAAATTATTATCATACTTAATATATATTGTGAGCTGATTTTCCTGTTGTCAAAGAACATAAAGGAAGTTTATAATCATTTTATTCCAATGTTGTTATTTTTAGTAAAGGGATTCAAAGAGAAATATAAGGTGAAAAGGGTCACAGAAACAACCGATAAAGCTGTAATCCCTTATCATAACAAACTTAGGTCACAGTAAGAGTTAATTGTTTATCACACAAGAATTTAATAAGTATCTCAAAAACTTCTTTTTATTTGTAACGATTATAATTTTCGACTTTTGTGAGTTTTTAAGTTTATTAAGAATTTTTAAGTGGATATTTGTATTGAAAATCACAGGCAAAATAATATTAAATCGCATGAATATAAAATTACGATTATCACTTACCCATAAATCTAAAAGAGTTTATTATCAAAAAAGCAATTAATTTTGATATTTATTGGGTTGAGTTTTTATACGCCAGTTAGGTATAATTTATTTTAAATTTTATTTTACGCCGAAAATCATGAAATTCATTAAAATAAAAGTAATAACTCACCCATTCCATGCCACAAAACAATCGATGTCGGCTTTGAAGAAATTAATTTGATTACGAAAAGTAATATAAGAAGCGTCTTCATTTTGATTTATGCAGCTTTCCAATTATACAGTTTATGTATCACTGCGACAAAACGATCGAGATCGAATTAACAATGAAAAGTCGTTTTCGAGATAAGTCGCGACATAACTTGTAAACAAACAAATGTCAAATACAAGATTGTTTAAATGTCAAAACACTTGCTAGCAGTTGTCAATTTAATAGTCAAATGTCATTGGCAATCAATTGTAAAATGATTGTTTAGATTTGCTCTATTATTTATTTGTTCCCAGCAAACGGCAAAAAGTTAGAAAACTTTTACGTAAGTCTTAAAAATGTTTAATCTTAAATAAATAGCTACATGGTACGCATTTTATGTGCTAAGTAATACAACTAGAGGGCGCCACTCTTTCTCGATAACATGTTGAAGCTCGTGGCGCAATCTACCACTTCATTCAAAGACTATAATATGACTTCAAGCATAGCTGCTATACCGTTTGAGTAGATGGCACTAGCAGTTCGTACTTCAACTTGCGTTAATTCTATTTTACGACAAAACTGAATTATTATGTAAAGAAATATAATTAAGTATACCTATGCCTGATAATTTTCTATAAGTAATGATATAGGTACAATATTTATCCTAAATAAAAATAAATATAGGTGACACTCAAATCATTTTTTGAACACTAATAAATATTATGTTTTAGTTAGTCGTTAAGTCACCAACTGTAGAATGTGGGTACCTACCTATTTCAATAAAAGTCTACACCCTCAATATTTTATTTAAACCTTTTGCATTCACGAACCATGTTTTTTTACCGCTCGCCTTCCAATTCCAGGCTCATAATAATTGTCATTTTACTTAGGTACTAAAATCGTTGGCCAATTTTTGCCTGACATGCTTTGTCATGTGTTAAACCCGTGACACGTTGCACAGCAGCCAATCGTGCAATCATGATAAATACCCAAGATGAGGAACTTAGGATCATAGCTAGGATTTTTTAATATAGATCGTCATGCTGTTTAACTGATCCCTTGGTTGTTAGTTATCACCCCGCCCACACCGACAATTAAAGTACTTACACACCATCCAAGAAGTTACAAGTTAGTGCTTTGCCAACCTTTTGTAGGTTGTTAGGGTTTTGAGCACAGACTTAAATATAAGTCTGTGGTATTGAGGATTGGGGGCTTGGGGATTAGTGACAGGGAGAAAGAATTTTGCAAACAAAACACACTGCACAGTTGTTTCACGCTGGTATTCTGTGAAGTCGTGATATCACTCAAGTTAGCTCATTCGTGCTGCAGCATGGATCTCCCACAACATCTATTATTAAAAAAGTTTTTGACTAATATGACGTTTCTAACTTAATGATAAGGAATCTACTTATTGATACGAGAGAGTCACAGTGTTTTAAAAATGTATCTACGATGTATACCTAGGTACCTACGTAGGTATTTCAATTGGACTTCGGTACCTACAAGTAGGCACTACTGAATTGATAACTAATTATTTTCTGCTGACCATGTAACCAAACAATAATGCCAGTTAGATAATCAAGCTAGATAGATAAGACAGCATCAGGTCAAGGTCATAGTTTTAATCTAAATGTTTTATCGAAATATTATGTCATCGAGACTCATTAACATTATTATGACTACGATTGCACAACTAAACGTGCAACATCTGTATTTACATTACTCTGTACAGATATTTACCAAAGATAGTAAACTTTTCCATAAATCACTCGCATCGCTTTGTCTTTTTTTATGACGTCAGTCTGTGGTTTGTGGAAACCAATTACTTGTGATTACACTACACCCCTCTTTTTCCGCCAGAAATCAAATTAATGTTATTGTACTGTCATTTCACCATTAATTGCAATACATTGAAGTATATTGAGTAGGTATGTAGCGTATTTCTAAGAATTACCTACGCAAAATTTCACTTTTTTATGACAGATAGGTACTTAATACAATTTTCCATGCTCAATAAGGTAAGTAGAAACAGAATATTTTATCATTTAAGTAGACTGAATATGTGAAATGTACATCCATTATTATGGGTAGCTAAGTGGTCGTAGGTAATCAAGCAGAGGGCACGAGCTCACCTTTTTAACTGACCTGGAAATCGAATCCGAGATCAAGAATCAAGACGCATTTGTGACACGACCAATTATTTTCGAAGATGCAGTCTGTATTAATCTAGTAAAGAGTCTTAAGAGGCGATTTGGGCTCCAAAACTGGCAATTACTAATGTGACTTTCAAATTTACCTAATTAAGTATTAGGTTCTCTTAGATTTAAGTAAGTATATGGTGTATAAAAACATTGTGAACCGATTACCTACTCCTACGCAGCAAGTACCTACCCCACTTGAAGGCTGGTTGGAACATCGTCATCATCATCATCGCTAAAAATAAATTTAGGGAAAAGAAACAATGTATTTTAAATTGCTTTTGTTTATTGACATTCATCACTGTTCATTATGTAATAAATAACAATGTTATAGATATTTTAACTGCTACTTATCACATTTGTTATTTGAAGGCATTGAGTAGCGACAAACTACTCTGACAACATTTCTAAAAGTAAACTAAACATTACTTATTTAACTTACAAAGTTTCATCCTACACGATACTCTTTTGGTCCAAGGATAATGAAATATTCAAATTTTTAATCTATATTTCCGTATTGTCAATTACCACAGATAAAAAATAGAAAAGAAAAAATAGTGCTGCACTAAACAAAAAACCTTTTTGCGATTCTAATTTCTTGTTCGTTCTTTGTCTTAGTATTAAAGTAATTAGTACATATTTACTCTTTTTTCACAATTTTCCACTGACAGAATTAGAATAAAGTTAAATAAAGGTTTCGTATGTTTAATTGAAATGTAAATAACACTGAACTGTTATCATTGTGAGGTGTTTGAAAAACCTTCTAGTCTAGAACAAACGTCGTTTAACCTAATACTCTCATTTCTTTGTGCGTCGTAGGAAAAATATATCATAGATATTGAAAAACTACAGACTACATTTTCTTACAAACTAATCTGTAGGTATTATGGCCACAATTAAAACTTTGGCTCTACTAGGTACTTTTAAGTCTCTCTACAAGACGATAAAACGGAACAAAACTCAGTATTTTGTGATGTTTATCGTATACATTACATTATTCTAGTATTTCTTAGTTGCCGAAACATAGTAAGTAACGATATGTTTGTTTTCCTTTAGATAAGTACCTATTTCAATGATTGCAAAGTAATTTGCAACCTCTCCTTGGTAAACATTACGATAAGTAAAGAATTAAAAATTTTAACACATTGAAAAAAGACCATTTCGTCGGAATAAGACACCGCGCGATAAAATAGGTGCATCAATGCCTATTCGCTAATTTTTTTTTAATTTTATCCTCACATAGGCATTGGCACAAATCGATAATGAGAAAATCAACTTAAAATTAGTAATTACAACTAAATAGTCATCAATATCGTTAACCTACTTCATCACAGTCTCATAAAGGAAATCACAAAAGTCTGTTACTCAGCCGAATCACGTTGGGACAAATATCATTGGGACCGTCTAATTAAATCAAGGCACAAATTAACAATTATGCACATAATAAGCTTCAAACGTGAATGATCTACGTGTTTTTCTGACATATTTAATATTACACTGAAATATTAAATAATATATATTTGTAATATACATATAACTATCAATCACAAAATTCTCCTGTTTCGTCTAAATACGAGATCGTCCCATTGTATCAGATTTTTCCATTGAAACCCAGCGTGATTCCGATCTAGTCAAAAACTAGATTGTACAGCCTCATTGAATAATTAAAATCAGATCTCTGCCTGCATTACAGGATTCTCATGGAGTCTGTATGTTTCAAGATGTTTTGTCCTAGACTTCGGATTTTCTTGGGCGACTCAAAATAATCGCTCGAGTCTGAAGATTCCAGTTGTCTGTGCCTGTGATTACGGATCCTTCTGGCTCTGGTGTCAGAGTCGTACATAAGAGTTTGTGTGCTTCCTTTCCTAGACCTGAATGGGATTCTATAAGGTGTGCTGCTCTGGACATCTGACATTGATCTGATGTGTCTTCTGTATTTGGACTCCTTTGTGAGCGGCGAGAATGTGATGACCATGTTTTCGGGTTTCGGCTCTGGTGATCTGGAAAGATGGAAAAGTTCCTTTTAGCAATATAATCTTAAGAGACAGACGTGACGTTGAAGTGTGTGAATTGCATCAGTCATGAGTACCTACAATGAGATAACAATATTTATAAGGAATTTACGTAGTGTTTGTTTGACAACACGTGACGAGAGAAAGTATTTATTGAGCGATACAAGAATACTATTCATTTGTAATGCCTATTAATAGTGATAATTATCATTGTAATTGCACAATTTGTCAAATATTGTAGTTATACTTCTATTTGTTCTCGCCCTCTCGTGTTTTAATTAATGTTATATCATTGTTTAAGCATTGACGTCTGCACCTAAAACTACTAGAATGAAAACAAATTAATTTATTGCTAGTAGTAATATACAATCTAGAACTATGTTCGTTGATTTGTCTACGTAGGCGCCGTATTAAACTTTGGTCGCTAGACGGCCCATCAATTCATTTATTTTTCTAGTCGGAGGGAGTTTGGAAAACAAGAACATTAAATTATTTAGAAACTAGCTTTGACTGCTGCACAATGGGCACATAGGATTGCACACGCGTGCTCAAGATTAGCATAAATAGTATTTTTATTTATTTATTTGGTTCACTTTTATTATATTTCAACAATTATGGGTTACAGTGTATCAAATCGGATCAGATGTACTATACTCTTACAGGAGCATCATTATTGAATTGAGTATATGTAAGTAATAAGCTACTTTTATATTACAGGATATTTAATACACACAGAACAATGCAATCTATACTTCTAAAGATACTTATATTACATAGAGGTAAAATTTGTAAGTTTGTACCTATGCAGGGGATAATCTTTGGCAACACTGATCGGATTTCCAAATTCTCTCACAGATAGATAGCTACATTGTTCGCCAGTGCTAAAGGCTATAAAAATCGAGCTACGATCTAAAGGCGCCGTACAGCGAGTGAAAACACACGAGAGTAGCCAACCAATAAAATTACAGGCACATTCAGAATTGAGGAAGAAATAAAGTTATTAACGGAAACATAATTG